CCCCCGCAGCTGAGCGACAAATTCACGCCTTCATCTCCTCCCGCCTTGACTATTGCAACTCACTCCTCTTCGGCATCAGCACAACATCCCTCAACAGACTCCAGCGTGTCCAGAACGCAGCCGCCAGACTCCTCACCCACACCAAATCATGGCATCACATCCCCCCGGTCCTCAAAAGAACTCCACTGGCTCCCCGTCTCACACCGCATTCACTACAAACTCCTGGTCCTCACCTGTAAAGCCCTCCACCATCTAGCACCCCCCTACCTCACTGACCTCCTCATCCTCTACCAACCACCCCGGTCCCTCAGATCCACCTCAGCCGGTTTGCTTTCCATCCCCAAGGCCAAACTCCGGAGCTTCGGGGACAGAGCCTTCTCTGTGGCAGCCCCGAAGCTCTGGAACTCCCTCCCCCAAGACCTCCGTGAGTCTGATTCCCTCACCCTGTTCCAGTCCCGTCTCAAAACCCACCTCTTCAACTCTGCTTATCCTTAAACCCGCCCCTCCCCCCTCTGAACCAACATCCTCCTGACTGCTTTTCTGTTTTTGTTTTGTTTGTCGACCTTACTCGTAATGTAAAGCTTCTTTGGGTCTAGAAAAGCGCTATATAAATCCCATTTATTATTATTATTATAATAATAGATAACCCAATAAATACAAACTATGAATAATACCCCGGTTATCCTCATTCAACGGTCAGGTAGCAATAACAATGGGTTAACCAGAAATATACAACTTTTATGAAAGCTGCATTACAGGAACGTTCACAATATTAATCATAACTTCTCACAGGTTAACCCAATGGTGCAGACCTTCCTCTAATAAGAAATGTATTGATTCTTTTTAATCAAAACTCACATCAACTGGGCTGAATTATTTATCAAACGTTTTGCCTGATATTAAATCCTGTATGTCTTTTATGATGAGCCTACAGAGATATTTTTCTGATTATTTTTGGGATATAATGTGGTTATATAGTAAGGAGTTATTGATGTTTCCTAATCATTGTTCAGGTTGTTAAGTCAGTCACTTGCTTTCCATAAAGAAGTGTGAAAAGTAGAGCAGGCTAATCCTCTTACCGTGTTTTATTGGGCACAACCTGGTACTCACAGGCTCAGTGAAGCACATCACAAACCTCAACAGTCTCCCTCTTCTTTCCTGTGCATGCTTCAGTGGAATATAAAGACTTGATGTCATTATATTCTTGGTCAATGCTTAGGCAGTATGGCAGACAGCGGTGTACGCGGCTTAAACATTATTCTGGCCTCCCTCCGGCTCACTGGTCTATAGTGGAGTCAGTCACCTCTTAAGTCCCGGCTGTACGTACATACGGACCACACCACATCTACTCAAAGCTGCCTTCAGTCAACTTTTCTTTACTCAGTGTAATCTGCAACGTTATTTTCATTTGCATCAGACACTCTGAGTCTACATCCTGGGGCATACTTCTTAATTTAACATAATATTATATATATATTTTTAGAAAATATTAAATAATGTTTGTTTTAACAATGTATATAAATATATTTTAAAAGAAATGCGTTTTGTATTATTTTAAGCTTTTAGGTTTCTAATTTGATCTTACCTGGAATTTTCTTTTACTATAAGCAACTTCTATCAGTAACTTATTAAGCTGTGCCTATTCCCTATATTATTATTATTTGTATTATTGTTATTATTATTATTATTTCCAACTTTCACTGGACATGTATGCTTATAGGATATCTTATTTCATTTTAATCTTTTTTTTGGCACATTCTCATTTCTAATTATTTTAGCGAGTGCCGTGCTCCCTCTTTCTCTCTGGATATGTGGAAAGTAAAATATTGAAATAAAAGCCTGGTGTTGGTTTTTTGTTGTTGCAGGATGGGCGCCCTCTTCTTCATCACTACCAACCAGTGTTTCAGCACCGTGTCTGCAGCGGAGCTCTTCATCACTGAGAGGAAACTGTTCGTGTACGTTAAGTGGTTCATTGTTAAGTTAACCTTTGGATTGAGTAATAAGAGCTAGAACTTACTTTATGTTTCTGTTTCATGTTACAGTCATGAGTACATCAGCGGCTACTACAGGGTGTCCGTCTACTTCCTGTCTAAGATCCTGTCCGACATCACTCTGCGCACCGTCACCTCCGTGATCTTCAGCTGCATCGTCTACTTCATGATCGGTAAGACTGAAAAGAAAGTGCTTTTAGACGAACTTCAAGAGAATCTGATTAAACAACATCCTTAACATTTATCTCCTTTCTTATTTTTGCATTTTGAAGTATGAATGCTTGTTGTTTGTATGTTGTCTTCTCCTGAATGTTTTTTATCTCTTGTTTGTTTTTTGTATTTTTGATGGCGGAGTAGCTCTACTCATCTCATTGTAGCTGTATAATGACAATAAAGTATTCTATTCTATTTTTAATATAATCTATAAAGTATTTACATTCGTACATTTGTGTTTCCATGCAGGTCTGAAATCCTCCGCCGCAGAGTTCCTCGTCTTCACGCTGACGGTGACCCTGGTGGCGTACACGGCCACCGCCATGACGATGGCCATCTCAGCCGACCAGAGCGTCGTGGCCCTCGCCAACATCTTCATGACCATCACCTTCGTCTTCATGATGGTGAGAGACACCACACAGGGAAATATGTAGACAAGCCAAAATATACACAGACGACACTAATACCTTTTAATTAGGACTCAGATGTGTTCGGACTCAATTCATGTTATTAGTCGACGGTGTGTGAATGTGTGCGAGTGTTGGCTTCCTTGAGCAGACTGCATCTTGTATGGCAGCCTCAGCCTCTGTGTGACTGTGTGTGAGTGGGTGAATGCTGACTTGTATATGTAAAGCTCTTTGGGGAGTCGTAAACACCGGATAAAGTGCTATATACTCATGCCGTCCCTTTAACATTTAGTTACAGTGGCTGAGCTTTTCTGGCTGTGATTCAATATGTAAACTTTGGTGTGGTGTTTATAGATTTTCTCAGGTCTGCTGGTGAACCTCCCCAGCATCATGGACTGGCTGGCGTGGCTGAAATACTTTAGCATCCCTCGCTATGGCCTCGCAGTAAGTCACAATTAAAGGTTTTATTTGTGATATTCCCGCATTCAAATGTCCTACAACGACTAGACTTATTTTATATTGTGTTGAGCTGTTTTCTGACATTACCCTGAATGTTTGTGATGTCTAATTCCTAAATGTAATCATATAGCTTAAACCCTCTTTACATAGTTGGCTGTAAGGTTAAACAGTCCTCTCTTAGAATAGTGTGAGCACTTACAGAGGTCATTTGAGTTCCCTAATTGATCACACAGATCATTCTGAGTTTACAGTCTAATTTACCATGTTCAATTTGTTCTGCTCAGCGTTCATTGACTATATTGTCTTTGTCCAGGCTTTGAAGATCAATGAGTTTGTGGGTTTGAAGTTCTGTGACGAGGCTGGGATCAGAAACATGTCGGCTGCAGGGACAAACTGCAGCGTGAGCGCAGCCGGCCTGACGTGAGTACTCCTGCATGTGTGTGTGACCTGGTTGGGTCTTACTGGTTTCATAACCTCTGTGATCAAATATGACTTTTCCAGTTGAGCTAGTCCACCATCGCTCATGTTGAAGTTGCCACTCTTCACAACCTTATTTAGACTTGGCTTTACAAACGTCTATGTGCAGAGGCAAGTGAAAGAAATTAGGTGTGTGTTCATCCATTTTTAAAATCTAATCTAAATTGTTTATATTCTCTGTTTCTTACATAAGAACAGGATTTTAAAAATATTTATAAGTTTTCCTAAATTTTAGGTTAGATTTTTGAGACCAGAGCGGGGTTTGGCCGTGTGTTTGTTGGAGTAAAATATATTTTGACCAAGTGCAACATACCTATATGGGACCAAAATCATTCATGTTTTCCTAAACGGCAAATTAGCGCCGATTAAATGCAACTCCAGCCAAAAGCAAGACGTGACAGTAATGTTAAACCAACACACGGTTAATGTATAATATGTGCATAACTGTGCGTGCTGAAGTTAAAACTCACCTCCTAAAGAGTTAGAAGGAACCTAGAAACAATATCCTGGGATCTTCTTTTCCACATCAACACAGACTTAGAGAATGGATCCATGTATTTGTATCTCACTTGCCTCTCAGGGCCTTCCGTATTATATTTAACTATTTAACTCTCAAATATGATCTTGGGGTTGTTATTCCAGATGTACAGGGGAGCAGTACCTGGACTACCTGGGAATAGAGTACACCACGTGGGGACTGTGGGAGAACCACGTGGCTCTGACCGCCATGACGTTCATTTTCTTCATCATCGCCTATCTGAAACTCCGCTACATCAAGAAATTCACTTAAATGTGATTATTAAAACTATGCAAATGTAGCATTTTTCATTTTTGTCTTCATGGGACCAGGCCATTAAATATTCACCAAAAATGTCAGTATTATAAGAATCTAAAGTTAGATGAGACGAGAGGAACTACTCTCATGTTTGTGTGCTAATAAGTAAGGGGGAAGTTAGCTTAGCATAAAGACCTGAAGCAGGAGGAAACAGCTCTGGCTCGGTTTAAAGTTTGAATAAATTTACCATACCAATTTCAGTTGGTTGTTCTTAATGCAATGTCAGTGAGAATGAATATATTTTGGATGTATTTTTTATTTATGAATATTTGTTGTATTATTTCCAAATCAGATTTTATTCTGTACTTTTGTAATTTAGTAATGTTGGTTATTTCGTTTGTGCACACTTTCCAAATGACCTTGATTCTAACTAATAACTGATTATTTGTATTTGTAGATATTATATCATTATATTATAGATAGTGTGTGTTAACCCCTTTATGTTAGGGGTGTCAAACTCAAGGCCCGGGGGCCAAATCCGGCCCGCGACTTCATTTTATGTGGCCCCGCAAGAGCTTGCAAAGAATATAATACGTTTATTATACGGTCACATGACACTTTACAGAAGCAGGTTGCCCATAAACTACATGTCCCACAATGCATCTCGTTTTGTGACATGTGCACTGAAGAGAATTGCAATTATTTGCCCTGGACTTCTGCTTTCAAACGTAGCTAATTACCCTATCCGATAATAATCCAATTCAGAGGCAATAATGTAATATAATACATTATTTTATATATTATATATTTATACATGTATATTTATATAGTTACAACCGGCCCTTTGAGTGCAACCATAATGCTAATGTGGCCCGCCATGAAATTGAGTGTGACACCCCTGCTTTATGTTAATCCAGAGAACATTTATAAACATTTATATTATCAGACAGCTTTTTGAAAACATGTATAAACATTTTCAATAACATTGGACTGTGTTTTTTTGTGTGTGCAGTGAGTTTTGATAACATGCTAACTTTTTTCCATAGTGTACCATTTAGAAACATATTTAAAAAAAATATTATAATATGTTTTTCAGTCAGTTATCCCTGATACATAAAGACCCTTTATAAAGTGAAATCCAATCCAATCAAATGCTTTTTTTAACCTATTATTATTATTATTATTATTATTATTGGAGAACTACAACCAAAAAAAGTCTGAAAAATTAAACAGTATCCTGTATTTTAATAACACTTTATTGGCATTATAATAGATTAAAAAAAAGAAATAGATTGTAAAAAAAAAAAGTAAGGCACAGAGAAAAACAATAATGAATGCATGGGTTTCCCATGAACACTAAATGCACTCCAAATCGAAGTTTGTTTTAAGTTACAATATGTATCATAAAGTGATAATAAGCTATTAGATTTGAAGCTTAATTGATGTACAGAGGATGAGTGAATATGACAGAACGTGCCACACTTGTACCTACTGTGTATTAAAACGATGAAAAAAGAATTAGCACGATTTTTTGGTATTTGTGTAAATGCTAAGATGTGTGGATACAGCAATCAAAAGCAGGTGAGCATATTTCTCATGTGATACTAAAATCATACGCTGCGTATTCTGAGTACATCTGAGCATGCTGGCAGGCCGCGGTATAATATTTACTGCAATGTAACACTGTACTGTAAATCCTTCACTATTTGACCTCTTTCACACATGTCCCTTCATCATCCTGTTTAAGTAATACTTCATATTAGCTTTAGTGAATACTTTAAGATGTCTCACAGGAGGGCCTCACTCTCTTTCAGTGCATTTTTGATTTTGTCACCTCCTTTGTAATATGTGAGGAAATGTCTTGGTTGCTTGTGCAGGGGAGTTTCCAGAGGAGTGCTGTTCTTCCTTCCATCAGGCTGACTTCTCACACATGGCCGCTCGCGTTGGTGCTGGCGTCGAGGCCGTCGGTGGAGAGTGAGGAGGGGGGGCGGGGGCGGGGGCCGCTGGGGGTGGCGGGCTGAGCGTGGCTGGCCTGAGACACCACGTCGTCAGACTCCCAGCGCTCCAGCTCCTCCCTCACCAGCCGCTCCATCTGCTCCCTGTGGACGTCTGTGTCCCGGCTCAGACGCTCGTCCTGACACAGAGACACAGTTTGTTTACATGCACACAACAAACTGCCTGACGCAGGATATCTGACAACAAGCACGGTTCTAATCTGGTTGCTGCCAATCTGCACAGAAGTTAGCTGCAGGACAGAATCTCCATTTCTCTCCAGCGTCTTTGTTATTGAAACATAATTCATAAATCCGTATAGCCTTTTTGATTTGAGATGTACAGAGGTTTCTGTCAGACACACTGATTGTTCCCCAAACTGTGGAACAGCCTCTCGTTTGATCTTAGAACTGCAACTTCAATTGGAATTTTTTTAAGTAAATTAGTAAATCTTTTAAACTTTGTTGCAGTATCACTGTTCATGTTTTATTGTTTTTACATATTTTGATTATGTTCCTCACTTGTTATTGTCATTTTTTTGTCATACTATTTAAAGCACTTTAGGCTGCGTCAAGCATGAAAGGTGCTATGGGGGGCGTGTGGCGCAGTGGGTTGTGCGTTGGTGTTGGGATCAGGTTCAAACCCCACTGCAGTCAGCATGTCGTTGTGTCCCTGAGACACATCACCCCAAAATTGCTCCTGTGGGGATTGCCCACAGTATTGAGTATATAAGTAACTTTGGATAAAAGCGTCTAACAAGTAATGTAATGTAATGCTATTTAAATAAATTGTATTATTATTATTATTTTTGTCTCTGCAGCTCCTCACCTCCATGACTCCGTCCAGCAGTCGGCTCAGCACGTCTCTGCGTTTGAGTTTGGCTCTCTCCATCGTTTCCAGCTTCACGATCACGGCGTCTATCTTTGACACGATGCTGCCGATGGAGTGCTCCATGCGGTCCACACGCCGCACCAGCCTGAGGAACACGCAGCCCAGATTAACATGTCTTACTTTACTACATGAATTACTACAGTCATTCTGATTAGTATGAACAACTTGAATACAGAATGCATGTACATTTTGAAGGTATGATAATGAGTCTGCCATACATTTCTATTAATCAGTGATTAGTTCAACTTGTATTTAATGATCAACTATGTCGGCATGAAAGGGTCCTTGTAGTTAAAAAACAATAATCACTATGTTGTGATAACGGAGATCTTACCTTGCAGATTGATCTTTATGTATTCATTGTTATGTTATGCATGGGGTTTTTGTTATTGTATTTGACTTGTTGTTTGCTCCTTTTACCCCTCACTACTAGAGATGTCCCGATCCGATCACGTGATCGGGGATCGGAGCCGATCACGTGATTTTCAAAAGATCAGAATCGGGAGAAAAAAATCGGGGATCGGGATTTTTTTTTTTTTTTTGAAATACTTTTAAATGTTGTATTCAATGTTACAAAACAAAAATGACCATGTTCAAGTCTTAAAGTCATCCTGAGGCCTTAGTTTTGGTTTCAAATTACACAACATCATGTATGTGTTGCTTCTTTGGGGCTTGTTTTCATAGACCTGGTTGCTTATTTCTCTCAAATCTGGCAACAGAGTGGGCTCAGTGTCTAATTGTAGCAGTAAGCTAACGAGTACTGATAAGCTTTATTTAGATTTGATCCAATGCTGCACAACTGAACTGATCCAATGCTGCTGTGAAAAAAAGAAGCTATATCCATGTTGGATAGAATATCCAATTTAAATAAAAAAATAACCTTAAGGGACAACTTGAATGCTTTTTTTCTTTTTTTTCTCTTAATGCATTGCATAAAGATCGGATCGGGAAAAATCGGTATCGGCAAATTGTCAAAATCAAATGATCGGAATCGGATCGGGAGCAAAAAAAGGTGAACGGGACATCCCTAGTTTACACTACTTTATTTTAAATGTAAATCTTGACAAATGCAATGCATAACTGGGTGTTCTGTCTTTAATCTCACAAAATCCGAATTCTGAGATTAAAGTCTTACCAAAAGTAAAAAAGTGAGAGTTTCGACTAAACTCAGAATTCTAAACAAAAAGGTCAGAATTCAGCTTCAGGCGATAGGAAAGTCTGCATTCCCCTCTCCAGCATCCCTCCTTCTCACAGACGATCTTTGAAGCATGCCTCGTCATCTTTCCACATTGCGCATACTGATTATGTCAGCAGCAGGCGACGGGACAGCCTATGGTCGGCAGCAGGTTTACAGAGATGGCTGCGGGCATGGAGCGGAGCCGCGGCGGCGGAGCTGGGTGTCCCCGGACAGGGAAGAGCTGGTGGCTGCTCGCGGTGCTCCTGCTCTCCGTGAGCTCCCTGCCGGTGGCCTCCGGGCTGGTGGAGGGCCTGTACTGCGGCACCGAGGTCTGCTACGATGTGCTCGGAGTCTCCCGGGAGGCCGTCAAGCTGGATATCGCACGGGCTTACCGGCAGCTGGCCCGCCGGTACCATCCGGACCGGTTCAGGCTCGGAGAGCCCGGCTATGAGGGAGAGACCCGGGAGTCCGCCCACACGAAGTTCCTGCTCATCGCCACTGCGTACGAGACGCTGAAGGTGGGTCAGTCTCAGAGAGGGTGTCCCTTCAGAGGACACTCTCATGTCCAGCAGCGAGCTTTGAGACTTGTGTGTCTCTTTGTGTCCCTGGGTGTTTTTTATGTCGAGTAAAGCTGCTACAGAGCCACTATTTCAAGTATACTACGTCATCGAGTGGCGCCGATGG